AGGAACGTCAGATGCTTGCTTTCGCAGATGCCGCTGAGCTGAGGCTTTGACCAGGTGTTGGGTGCAACATTATTCTGTTTAATTCACTGTGAATAATTATCCCTGAGCAACTTTAAGGGAATGCTGGAAGGGTTTTAAAGGTGACCATAGTCAAGTCCAACTTTCCCTGGCATTTGAAACATAGAATATATTAGTTTAGATGCCTTTTAGTTAACCAACTGAGATCTTTATTTTACTTTTTGCTATGTGTTAAGCCAATTGTGTCTTTGTATTTTGAATAGGTGCGCTCAGATCCGCAAGCTGAGAGAAATCAGATCCAGCAGACTCCGTCTAGGTGTGAATAGTATAATTCTCACCTTGGAGGCTTTTCTAGTCGGTGGAGCTAAGGCATTCTCACAGCCTCAGGAGACTCCCAGTTCACTTTAATATCACTATTTCAGTGTCAAAGCAGATCAAATTCAGAGGTTTGAGAAGGCTGAAGGAATCCATGCTTGTTGTGTAAGATCCCAAAATGGGTGGAAGAAATATGGATGTTCTGATAACCCAATGTTTGGATAAATATAAATACCCAGTCTCACAAAAAAACGTGAAATAGCAACGTTGGTCGATAGGGCAAAACGTAGTATATTCACAAATAACCCTCTCAAGACGTGACATGGATACAATATTTTTGTCCTATTCATTTCTAATGATCAATCCATGTCACGTGATAGCAAACTTCCCCAGTGAGAAAAAAAACATGGCGGACACCCGATTTATTTTTTGTGGAAAATCCTAAATTGTAGGATAGTTTGGCCATTAAAAGGCTTTTTGATTACATTTCTAGCGAGAAGTTTATATTGTACTTTTAAAATCTACATCCAGTGGATGTGTAGGATCTATAGTTTGATAGATATTACGTAGATTATTTGAGCTCCATGTTTTTTTTTACAAAATATTGCATCCATGTCACGTCTTGAGAGGGTTATTTGTGAATATACTACGTTTTGCCCTGTCGACCAACGTAGCTATTACACGTTTTTTGTGAGACTGTGTTGTGAATATAACGTCATTCTGTGTAGTTTTGACCAAAAATACAGTGTGGGCTTAACTGAATGTTGCGAAAGGACCTGCAAACTACAAACATGGAAGACCATACTTAAGTGAATCTTGAATGTGAAGCAATGAAAACATTTAGGGTTGAAAAGCATAATTTCTACACTTTTGTAAAGAAATGGTTCAGAGACAAAGAGTCCAGATATTACAAAATACTCTCCTCAAATGACGCCGTCTGTTCTACTTCTGTACTTCCTCCGATGAACAATAATAATAATACAAATAATAACACTTTGTATTTATAAAGCGCTTTTCCTGGTGCTCAAAGACGATTGATATCTAGTTCATTCTTAAGAGACATTCGAGGGTGTTGAAAAATATGGGCTTTTCTTGTATAGATAGATTTGAAAGAACAGTGAATAATGGTCAATGTTATATACTTAGCAACTCCAAAATCGTCAATAGACATAGAAAAGGCATAAATGTATCTGTCTGGATCATATTACTGTATATGCTGGCAAGCAGTCGTTTTTTATTTCCTATGTAAAGATACATCCCTATTGCGTTTTTCTCACCCACTCACTAGAACAAGATTTAAAAATGGCTACCAAGGCTTGCGGAAAAGATAAGGAAATGTGGAGTATGGCACATCTGGCTCAACCTACAGTGTATTAGGCTTAGCAGCGTTTCTGTTATTCTCAGGCTCGCTGGTGAATAATGCCAGCGATAGCAGCTTGCTCTCCGAGTCACAGCGCCTCTTTATATTCTCTGTGAATTGGAGAAAACACTGGCATGTGTCATGACATGTGACGCATGTGGTAGTAGCATGAGGCACCTGCCTCTGTGCACTGTGCACAATGAGCCGTGACAGAAGCAGTCATCTTATAGATACGGTGACCGGGATGCTGCTGGGAAGTGGACTATTTATTAGGGATCTGCCACCCCCTGCAGATGTTGTCATGGAAACACCGGCTCTTTTGGGTCTCTCTCTCTCCCTCACAATGCAGCATTAGGATGTTAATGTTATACTCAACACTGGAACACCACAGTTTAGGTTTCCATGTGACTCCCACGCTTACATAACGCTGTAGTGGAAGGGGGAAGCCATTTACAGCAAATGATCACCATGGAAATGATGCTGCATCTGTGATGAGTATAGATACAGTCACATCCATCTTTGTGTATGCTCCACTGGAAGTGCTGCTTGAATTATAATAAGACTACTTAGATGTATAAGGACACATCTGTTTCATAGGGTATAATCCAATAGTTTGGTCCTATATACAGGAGGGTAGAGGAAAAAAGCCTTTCTGTCATGTGTGTAGAAATTGAGTTTCTGTGATCACTGAGAGGCAGCCAACTGGACTTTCCTGTTGTTGTTACACATGTCAGAGCTCGATGGACTGAGAAATTAAAAGCTTTCCATGCTTTTTCATCTGTAAACAATTATTTAAAGACAAAGTAGAAATATGTTCAATGTCTGTTAAATCAGATACATATAGTGATTTTAGTAGCAAACATGGGAAACATTTCTTATTTTCCATTATTATAACATATTGTAATCAGTGTAGCTTACATATTGTTATAGCATCACAAGACACAATTTTTTACTGAACATTCTTTTTAATGACAATTAATCGTAAATAAGGTTATCATAAATCATAGGTCCCCATGTATCAATCGAGGGTCAATACATAGTATGTGTTTAGTCTCATATTCTTACATCACTATATCATTCACTTGTCATGACAGCAAGCTAGGCAGTTTTTTCTTGTCACTTAATATATATTGGAAATTGATCACGATCAAATTAGTTTTTATCTATTAAAGAATGTGTGTGTCAGTTACGTTCGCAGTGTAGAGAGGTGTTCAACTGCAATTGTGTTACTTCTGTTACAGTCGAGGCCAGGTTTGTTTATTAAAATCCATCCACTGCTGAAACCAGAGAACCAAGTGTCTTTTTTAGACAGAAATATCCATGGAAACTGAAAGATGTTTTTAGAAATAAAGTTAGACCGACTGTGAGGGACAACCACGTCATACCATTAGAGTACTATAAGAAGAATGTGTACAAGGCCATGCCTGCCCACACACTCACACACACACACACACACACACACACACACACACACACACACACACACACACACACACACACACACACACACACACACACACACACACACACGACTGTCTTGCTGTATAGATGTTAACATAGTTGTAGTGAAAACCCCATTCTTTGTAAAGGGTGCTTTTTTAAACCTCTCTGTACTGATTGTATTGATCGGCTGATTTATGGACTGTTCCCTCTGCTCTGTGAGTTAACTGTAAAGAATATCATTTTTCCTGAGAAAGTGTCAGCTCAATTCATGACCTCCCTCTGAGGGCTAGTGATCAACCTGCTGATGTCTGCAGCACATTGCACATTTCCCAGGACATCCCCACCGCTCTGGGAGGGTGATACGTTTGTGTTTTTTAACTATCAGCAGCACACTGGTGTATTTGGACTAGTCCGTGTTCGATTTAACGCTGACGTCACCCGAGAGCGTTGAGCCCTGCGCCGCAGTCGGTCCTGAGATGAATGCACAATATTTAAATCTAACGTACCTGGTTCTCTCACTCCACCCTGTGGGCTCAGCACGTCAGCACAATCACAGAGGAGTGGAGAGGAATCAAAAACAAATAACACATGAGACACCTATCATGTCAAGGAGGAAAAGAATGGAACAATTGTGGCTTTAAAAAAGGAAGTTACCTGCTTTGGTCGTTGACGTTTATCTTCAGTACCTATCTTTCAAAATACTGTTTAATCCCTTATTAAATATTTATAAATATATGATTTTTGGCATTGACTTAGTTATTATTTAATTTCAGGGAAGGGTAAGATCAACAATATCAGAGGGGAGTGAAGTTGCACACTGATTAGTTATTTTAATATCTTTAAATGTTTGATCAGCAAAGAATGAGAAGTATAAGCTATATCAAAAAGCAACTTGTCTCATCCAACAAACTGTTTCTACCACATAAACCAATTAAACAAATAAAAAGGAAATCATCACACTCACATGTGGTTCTGTTCTTTCAGAGAAAGATATCAAATTATATTTAGTTTACTTCTAAACATTATGTCAACGTATTGCTTTTAACTGCACCTTGATGGTAAGTGTTTCAACCTTAAAAGCTTGAATCGAACTGCCTCAATACTATACACATTCATATATATACAAGAAAATAATAAAAACTGTGATTCTGTACAATACAACAGCATTAAAGTCTATACCTACCAGTTCAAACTAAACCTAATTTACTTTCTGAGTGTGTTAGTTTACATGAAGATCACAACTTTGTTTGTTCAAAATGCATTCTGTTATTTTGAGAAATAAGGAAAACTTGAGCTAGTTAGGCTCATTAAAAAAAATTCTGCACGATGGCAGAGACATACATCGTCAATAGCTGTGTATCTGTGTGTTGATGTATGACACTAGTTTTCAGCTCATAAAGTTAGCAAACACATATCTAAGGCACTGTTTGCTGTGCACGGATTTAAAACCTTTCAGCACATTGGACAGCTCCTTGAGCACTGGACTGAAGATCCAACAGGGGGCGCAGTACTCACATTGTAACATGTGATGTTTTCATGAAGTGGCCATATAACATTTCCCAGCATCCCCCTATTTGACACGACTGTATGTGTGTTTGTTTTCACTTTGATTAATGCTATCAATATAACTCGCCTGCTGCCGCCGGGTAAAAAGATGGATGTACCGTTTCTCTGTGCTTCGCCTTTGCACTGCTCTCCTTAATGATTCCAGCTGCGTGTTAAGTACACACTTTACGGTTAATCACAGAGGGGGGAGAGAGAGGCGAGAGGGAGGAGGGGAGAGAGAGAGAGAGACTAGTACACATTTTGAGGCTGCTAGTGTTAAAAAATATTAACAACATGGCAGTGCTTAGCGACAGACCGAAGCTTTAAACGTGTCAAACGGGCACTATCATGAAGTCGCTCAAACACATTGGACCCGGGAAGCCTGCCCGCTGCTAACACCGACCCTCCTCCTCAGCTTCCGCGGCTCTCTTGCAACTGTCTCGTGGCTCTGAGTGAGTGGCGGCGGACCGGCGAGCTCTGTCTGCCTGTCGGTGTGTGTATGTGTGTGCGCGCGTGGTGTGAGGCTTTGGATTGATGTCTCTGCCTGTCAGGAATTTAAAGTGTCTCTCGCCGGTCATGTGCCAGTGTAAGCTCATCTGCAGCAACCGGACGCTGTCCCTCATGTTCGGGTGCAAGGTAAGCCTGGGGTGCGAGGGGTGCGAGGGGCGAAGATGTTGACTGATGTTTGTGTAAATATGGTTTATTAATAAAAAGCCCTCTGTAAGAAATGGTAGGGTTGGATTGATCTGTGGCTCATTTGAACTGGGATTGTTATCGTTACGCGACCACAAGAGTAATTAGTAGTGATCACACTCACCTATCCCATATGCCTTTAGATGCAAGCTTATTCACACTACCATATCACCTTTACATCACCGCTGTTATCATGCAGCCGATTTCCATACACAGCATCCTTGGCAGGCATGATGGTGTATTTAAATTGTGTTTTCTTTCATAAAAATTAGATTTAATGAATGAAACATTGATCACTTTCTGATGTATACTGCTTGTATGCAGGGCAGGTCACGTTAGGACTAGCCATATGCTTCACGCTTGCTCTGCATCCCACCAAAGCAAACTGCATTGCATGTTTTTGACCTTGGGAAATGCACATTATTGCTCAGGGCCACTTAAATATCAGTCACCATCAGAGAAACTGTACACCACAAAGAGAGGCTTTGAAATCAGGTAACATGAACACTCTCCCTGCTGTTAACCCACGCATGAATCACAGCCAGGCTGCTTATTCTCAGCATAAATACAGACTACTTTTTTTTCTTTGCAGTATGATTTTTGTCCTAATTTTGAGTGGGAGATGCTGTCTTTTTCTATCTAAATAGAAAGCATGTTTATTCATTCATTGACTGATTGTCCATCACATCCCTGGTGCCCCTCCCTCACAGATTCAGGTGTTATGGCAGCCAGCTCAGAGTTTCCCTCCACATGGCACTGGAGTCTGTTGGCTTTTTGAAGCCAAATCTGATACACGGTGCACTCTGTCCAGGCTTTGTACCAACGCTTGCCAAACGGATGTGTACATGTGTAAAAAGCTCCAGATTATTTTGTTGTTGGTTCACGTCCGGCATTTTGGTTTGCATTCGGTCTTGTTGCTAGAATCTGAATAACTTCATATATAAAAATATATGAACAGGTGGACATATTTTTTCAATTGAATTAATCGTGATTATTTTTCGATTTAGTGACCAGAACAATTTCTACATTTCGGAGACACCGCTGGGAAAATGTATATGGCTGTTTGCTTTGTGGGTTCTTGAAAGGTAGATCCTGCTGTGCTCACTGTTCAGTATAACTAGAACAGATAATCCCATGTGTCTTCCCCCCCCGCCCCGCCTCGCCTCGCTCCCTCCTGGCTCATTACTTCCTCATGTATCTCATTCTGAGACTCCACGTCTTCCCTGTGTTATTAAAATGATCCTCCTATGGACTTAAGGTGTCTCCACACAGTCATCATGACCAACAGTGTAAAATGTAACTCCACAGCGAGCTTAGAGTCTGTAATAAGAGCAGATTTTCAAATGGGATGAACTAAAAGGCAAGAATCCTTCCTAGCCTCGGAAAACGAAGAATTGTGGAACAGGTGTGCGTCATTTCCGCCAAAGATTTGGAAATTGGTCCGTGCGCAAAGCATTGTGGGGATTTTAAGACCCCGGAGTCTACACATGTGCAGCCTTGAAATTTCCCTCAACAAAGTACGCCGGCCTCTGTAGGATTCCAAGGATCCTGGACATTGGAACAGTCCTTCGGCGGGACTCGATGATGTAGCATTCTTGAAATAGTGGCTCTGGAGCAGCTTTCCTCGACATTGAGAAACACCGTTGGACTTTGAGAAACATGGATGGACATTTTTCACCATCTTTAAAGATTTTATTGACCAAAGATGAATCAAAACAATAATTGGCAGGTGGAAAATAACTTAATAAATCATTTCCAGACCCAATATTACCAAACATAAGATCTAGTGTCCCATCAAACATGCCCAAATTACCAATCTGTGGATATTTCCAGCAGGTTCAGTAGTGTCTAAGCAGCTTGCATCGGGTCTGTCGCTCTTTCATGGGGTTTTGGGTGGGATGTCATTTGGCCAGACTCTTTGGGATGTACAGCTTTAAAAAAAGTATTTACCGGTATTCCTAAAATTCTCTAGAAATGCCGTATGTTTGCTTTAAATCCATGTAACAAAATCTACCATAACTGTTCATTTCCCATAGTGATGTTCCATGGTTATTATTTTTGTATAACCTTTGTTCTTTAACAAAGCCGAGCACAGAAATTCTCAGTCATTTTTAATTCAGGATCTTAATGAAAAGGCTCTTTATGTGGTTGGAAGCGTTCAGCAGTGCTTTAATGTGCTCCTTTATGCTTAATGCACATTGATGGCCTCACAACATTTAATCAAGATGGACCGGCTCGATGAAGTTTGTCTTGAAGCTAGGATCCAGGGCAGTGCTTATACCGAAAGCTCCACAATGCAAACCAGCCAGAGGACAGGGTTTAAATAGAAACTGAGTTTTAATGTAATGAATGATTTACGACTCAGGGATCAGTGTGCCTTCATCTCAATATCAAGATCGATGATCACCTCACCCCTAGAATCGATTCTCAGACGCCTTTACTGGAAAGTGGACAGGAAAACGACCTGCCTTCACTCATTACCATCCGACCAATCAAATGATCAAGAGTAATGATGTGGAAGATATCAGCAGTAGGTGATATCAAAGCAGAGGTGATTTGCTTCTGTCTGCAGCCTGTGTCCCTGCGTGTGAGGCACTGGTTATACATTTCCCATCTTACTGTAAGTGTTTTTATAGCTTTGCAAGCACACATTTCCTCCTATGGAATTGACCTATTTTATCCTGCTGTTTGTGCCATCTTCCATTATAAGGAGCAGTGAGCCGGACTGTGAAGCGAGAAGAGATGCGGCAACAATGTGCGGCACTAGATATTTGCTAATGCTGTGTTCAGGTCTAAGATTGAAGCATTTAAGGTCACCCCCTTCACAGCTTATCTGTGATCAAATAGTGCAGCTGCTGTTGAGGGAGCAATGGATGTGATTGTGCAGGGTGTAGGAGAACGGTCACACCACACGCATGTAAAGCCCATTCAGAGGCGCCAAAAACTGCAACATGGAAGAGCATCATTGACCCCCATGTTGAAACAACCAACTTTACAACAGAAAATACAATTTTTAAAACACACAAAAAAACGCTTTTGGTCACTGAAGTTAAGTTGCCTATTCACGATAACTATACAGGAAGGAAAGAAAGTTATGCATTATTAGGGTTCGGCCCCACTAATGGTGCCAACATTTGGATTAGCTGCGTTAGATGGAGCTGGAGCACACTACATTGAGATAAACAATGTCTGTTCAGAAACCTATGGGCGACGTTACAAAGAAAATATCAATATGTTATATTCCCTTATGTCATAACACCAGAATCGATTCATTATTTCAAGATGGGTTGCCTGGTTAAATGGCACGCCACTAATACCTTAAAACACACCAAAGCTCTAAAAGTGGTATCGTGGACTTACAAAAAAAGCTGATTTTTAGAGCAAATGTTCATCACTACAATTTATCTTGATTGTTACACAGTTAACATTTCATTACATTACTGTACATGTCACTTGTTAGACGCTTTTATCCAAAGTGACTTACATACTCAATACTGTGGGCAATCCCCACAGGAGCAATTTGGGGTGAAGTGTCTTGCCCAGGGACACAACGACATGCTGACTGCAGTGGGGGGGGGGTTTGAACCTTTGCTCCCCTGATCCGAACACCAACGCGCCACACGCCTCCCTGTAACAGACAAGAATAAACTATATTTCAAAACCATTTCACGAAGCACCTGGTTAAATGCTTTGTGATTGGATGACTAGAAAGGCGCCATATTAATGGTAAAGTCAATTTACGGTCGAACCAAATTTAGCCTCAGTGTCACACAAAGACCAAAAACGCCTTCATGACGCTATAGAATTTAAAACAGAAGACTCTAACTAAAGGCAATTATTCTCATCACATATGATTATTATTAGATGTGAGATGACTGCATGTTAAGGGGGCAGATATAAAGTCAAAGACAGGTGGGATGAAAGCTTTATGGACCGTTTCCACGTAAGGCAAAAAACGATTGGCTGTATATTCCCATTGAAATGACATTTTATAAGGCAATGGAACGAGGCACTTTTGTGTGTGTGGGTGTGTTGAATGTTGATAGGACAGGGCTGTACTATATGATCTTGTTTTTGCAAGCGATGCTGAAGAAAAAATACCCACTGCAGCGCATTATTAGATGTTGGTTCCTCGTGAAGCCATTAACCAGTCTGTGTCAACATGGCCTCCGTGTGCATGTTTGTGTGTGTGAAGAAAACAGAGGGCTGGGGGAGGTTTAACACCACAATCCCCCGCTACAAGCGCAACATGCATAAAAATGTATGTACTCAGCATAAAATGGTGTGCGCATGCTTCTATGGGCAGAGGGGGAAGGGGACGGAATGATCAAGATGTGAGGAGAATTCATGGGAATAAGTTTCTCCTGACCTGTAAACTGACAATGGATTTTCTTCATCGTTGTACATTTTTAAAGCTGCATGTAGAAGGCGTACATTAATGTTTGTACTTACTGTTTATGGCACTGCTTTTTCGGCTGATTTGTGTATCCTCAAGTTATAGAACGTCATGTTCTTTCGCTACAAACTACATTTTAGCCAATACTTGTAGTTTTTGGTCAGTTTAACAGAGTCCAAAACATTATTAAGAAAGATGAGGGCCATGGTATTCGCCACTGGTCTGCAAATGATCCTGCTAGTGCTTACCATATTAATATCGGTTCTGTCTTAATACATCACGTTCCTGTGAAAACAGGCTCTAGACAGTAGACGAGAACCCCCCCCACCCCCTCTTCTCAGCACTGCCAACGCTTACTATAGCACCATTTACTGTATCTATGACTCTAATTTGATAATTAAATTTAAGGATGATACATCGGTGTTGCTCTTATCAATGATGAATCATCTCACAGAAATGAATCTCATTCATTTGGTTGAGATGAGCATGAATTAACGAGTGAACTGAAGGAAGATGAAGTCTTGAGTTTCCAAACCAGTGCAGCCTG